GCTTCATCGTTCTCTTTCTCTGGTGTATGGCGCGTCGTCGCCGGCGCTGTGAGAAGTTACTTTTGTAAAATCTTTGTCTCTTTCTCGTCTTGCTTATGATCCTAAAGGTGTTGTTCGATGAAGCCAAAGATTTTAAGGTTGAGTTTGGGGAGTTGGAGATCTCTAGATCTGGCTCCGATGGTCCGTTTCACGGCGGATCTGGTGTCTACAGAGTTTGAGCAACAATAACCGACTCCAACAAAGTCCGATTCGGAGGTCCTAGGATGTGACGCTCTGGTTGCTTTGAAAGGACAATGAGCGGACTGGTGGTCTGGTGAACCGCGAATCTGGTGCCGAGGTTGTGGGTGCGGTGATGGATGGATATCGTGTTTGGTTTGCCTTCTCTCTTTTTATGTCTTCCTTGTTTTTTTGGCTATTTCGTTTTGCCTTAAGGTTTTGGCTTTGCTTCTAGATTTGGATGTTGTGCTTGTGCTGCGCTTTTCTGTTTGGGATTTAGGCTGTAGCTACTTTAATGTCTTTTCCTCGGTTCCCCATTGGTCTTAATCGGATCGCATCCTTCATCTTTTATTCCCTCTGAAATTTTGGTGAATCGATTAAACAGCTACTTTGGCATCCTCCACCCGAAGTAAATATCAGGTTTGGTCGAGACTTGATTTGTTGGTTTGCTTTCATCTTACCGGTCCTTTGTTGACTAAGTTTCGATATATCTGGTCATGGTTTCTTGTCAACGTTCTTTGTTCCTTGAATGATTCGTTTTAGCCTCTCCAAAGATTGTAATTGTTAAAATTTTTGAAGTCTACAACACATCAAGTGAGGATATGAAGAGCTATATCTTTGGTTGGGTACTGGCGGATCTCCAACTTTGTCTAATCAGTTTTTGCTCTTGGAATGGGCTGGTTAAAGGGATTGAATGAAATGGTTAGCTTAAGTCTCAGCATAGCGCGGTAGTTTTAGTCATGTTTAATTAACGTTTGTTTCCAGTGAGTTCAGCTTTTGGCTTCTGAATCCCCGAGCTAAGTTAGTCGGGTGTTTCACGCTTTGTCTAGTGTACTCAGCTCTTGTAAAACTGTGTTTCAAAATCAGATCTATTATATATTTTCAGATGACAAAAAAAAACATACTTTGATTAAAACATGTACTTCAACGGCAGACATTTTTTGAAATCGAGACAAGAGACATATATCTTACTAAAATATCTTTTTATTGGTAACAAATTAAAATATGGCAGACTTTTTATGCTTTGACATAGCAGACTAATCACGACAGACATATTATTATATAAATGGCAGATTTAACATACTGATGAAAATACCAATTTTACCCTAAATTAAATCTTAAAATTTCAGAGAAGCCATCGTCATCTCTGATATGTTTAGGGCTGCCGCCTACTTCCTCTTATGCCATTGACTTTTAGAGTTTCTCTATTGTACATAGTCTATAGTTCATATGGATCAGATTATTCTTGTATATGGCAAATGGATGTTTGATAAAAACAGATGGTTATTCAAGGTTGATAACAAAAAGGGTGCAAAATTCTAGCAGCAAATGGTCGAACACGTTATGAAGCTTTCATTGAGATGGTATACGAGGATTATGGATTTGATAAGAGAGTGCATGAGGTAGAATTGAGCTACATGTATCCGAAGAAGAGTCTGTTGAAACTGCCACCAGATACACCTGCAGTAAAAGTTGGAAATTGCATACAATTTCATAGTTTTTTACGATAATTGAAAATTGATCCATCCAGACTTTGTGTCGAAGTTAAAGAAAAAGATACGGGTACATCAAAAAAGGCAAATGATGAAGATTTCATTAATTGTAAAAGTCTGGAAAAACATGACAACGGAGAAGATGAGATGAAGTGTGATTATACGGATCACAAGGCAGGGAACAAGCAAGTGGTATCCGATTGCGAGGGT